CATCGAAGAGTTCATAATGGAACCTGAAACGGATCTGACGACAGAAGAATGCCATGAACTCTTGAATGAAGAACACCAAGAAACTCGGCGAGATATGTTTTCTTCTGAAAAAGAGGATTAATGCCGATATCTGTTATTAAAGATCTTTTGTAGTAGTAGGAGGATGTCAAAATAACGATCATAGAATGGCATCCAAACCAGGTTGAGGCTTGGGGATTTCTACAATTGCAATGCTATTAATTACTTACAAAACATCCTGACGAAGCGAGAAAAGCAATCGACATTAGACAGATTCTTTAACCCTTTCAAACAGAAAAAAACATGACTAATAAAAATGGAAGACTGTGTACGTATGTATTTTTATTATTACATATAAATAAACGTAGTAAGAAAGTATATATTTTTTTATTTTTAGGGGTCTCCAGAACAAATTAATTAAATTCCCATTAAAACCTATGGTAAATCGATAATCGGTTAACGAACAATTCGGATAGCGAACAAAGTCTTGGAATGGATTATGTTCGTTAACTGATCACCCACTGTATTTATTAATATTTTGTTGCCCACTGTTGGTCTACCCCAGTGGTCCCCAACCCCCGGGCTGCTGACCGGTACCAGTCCATGGATCAAATGGTACCGGGCCACCCAAGGAACATTAAGTTACTGGTATTTCCATTTTATTTACTATGGTGTATTTCTTTCGAGTTTGTGCGACTTTTAATGGACGACGGAGCAATGGAATAAACTGGACATAAGAAACACACTTCGGGTGTCATTGTCTCCTATTACCCCCAGATGAAACCGTCTTGTTGCAAAGAAACAAGCTCAGTGTTCTCATTGATTTATCGTTCTAGTGAGTTAAAATGTTAAATCACATTATATTCATTTTTTGCTGTAACTGTATTTTATTTTGAAGGCATGTTTAAATACTATTAAATTAAAATATATTAAATTAAATCAATCTAAAATATGAACAATCAACGTCCCCCCTCAGTGGACCACGGTAAAAATATCAAACGTTGACCAGTCTGCGGCGATAAAAAGGTTGGGGACCGCTGGTCTACCCCATTGGAGATGGATACATCCAGCAGGACAATGCTCCATGCTATAAAGTTCAAATTGTCCAAAGATGGTGATGCCTTCATTCACCTAACTGACATGTACTTCAGAAGAACCACAGTCCCTTTCTACTGATGGACGTCTCTTCTTTATTTTGTAATCCAATCCTAAATTTGTACATACGCATTTTCTTGTTCAGGTGCAGGTAGCACCATTGCATGCCTCGAACTGTGGTATGCCTCTTGTATATTCCAATTGTTTATTTTATTGTATTCCTCATTACATTGTATTTTCAACCTTATTTCTGATCCCACCCGGTTATGTTTCACGGCACCGGGNAATATAAATTTTGAAGATTTTATACTATTAAAGTAAGAAAATTAATAGTTATAATCAAATTCAAAAACTATAATCACATCATTAATCCTTTAA